TCCCAATTTATATTACTAGAAGTGGCAGATAAAACTTCTGCGAGTGCCTCACTGAGTCTGAGTGACAGGACCTTTAGGAATGTGAGCACAGAGCCATATCCATAGTGCCCACACAAGGCAGAGGCATCTGGATCCTGAAGCTGCAGGAAAGGTGAGGGTGCCCTCTGAGGACAACCTGCTAAGGATCAGAAGGGGGCCAAGGAAGTCAGAGATTACAGCAGGTCTTAAACTGAGGCAAGTTCAAGTGGAGGGCATTAATGTTCAAGGGAGCAAGCTGAGGTGAGTAAAGTGGTAGAGATTGATGGAAGGAGAAAGAGTAAAAAGCCATCTTGGCTATCTATGAATGGTAGCATAGGGATTTTTGTATATTTTCAAAATTGTATACTGTTGGATCATTTTTGAAATATGAATAAATCCCAAACTGGACCAAATAACGACACTGCTGGAGCTCCTGCTTTGGCCAGGAGAGCTGACAACATCCTGCTCCCCTGGCCTGGACATATCTGGCTCAGGGGCCTAAACCCTCTCTTATTATGGAGAAGAAGATGTTTTGAACATTCTCACCATTCACCCATTCACCTCACACACCCGTCATCCTCTCAAACCTCTTGCCCACTCCAGGATTTCATTCTTAATTTACTGAGCTCTATTTCTGTCTATCCATTCAATATGTGGTGGATCCAGGTGGTGGCTTCTGCCCATGATTTTGTTAAAAAAAAAAAAAAAAAAAAAAAGACTCTCAAATTACTTTCCTGACACACCTCCTTAAACTGACCTCCACCTGCAGCCCCATGATCATTACCAGCAGCATTTGGACACTTTTCTGGTAGTCAGATGCTTTCCATCTCTTATGAGCGATTCATTGGAAATGTGACCCTCTCCACCCTGCATAAAGATTTCCCAGTAGAAATGAACACAGAGATACTGCCTGTGTTCCCCAAAGGAAATGGTTTCTACTATAAGAATACGTAAGCTGCAATTATAGAAAAGACCTTCAAAACATATTTTATGTAGATGATTCTCACCATTCCTTTAAGAGATACATTGTAAAACATGACATTAATAATTATTCTAGAAGAATACAGCATACATACTCTTTTCTTAAATTAATTTTAATAAGGTGGCTCCTCCCATGTGCCCAGGCTGGGTCTCTGAAAAAAATTCTCCATCTTCAGTGGCAATGCCTGAGAGGATATTATGGACTTAGGCCTGATATGCAGCCATTCCTGTCTACCTTGTCCCTGCTGCTGCGACAGTACCAGCCCAGGACTCAAGTCTCCTGCTGAAGAGCTGAAGAGAAAATGGAATATTCAGCCTCTTACCTTTTTCCTGTCAGACTCGTGGCCGGCCATAGCTGATTATAACTGACAACTGACACCTGAGCTCTATACATTTCCACTTTATGCCTGCTCCCTAGATTTACTTTCTTCCTTGTTCTGCTGTCTCATCGCCAATTACAAAATGGCGCTCTTCCGGGTTCTTCATCACCCATTTTCGCGCCGGAGAAAATGATCAACTTACAACGCAGGCGCCATCCGCGCCAGAAGGTACCAACCGGCCGTGTAGGCGCCAGCAGCAGCGTCCGACCGAAGAAACCAATACCTACCTGGCCATGCCCACTGCAGGGCCACCATCATCGCCCTGGCCCAACCTCCACCCTTGCTGGTCTATATAAGGCATTACACCGCAATAAAACGAGACTTGATCAGGATACTGTCTTTGTCTCCATTTCTGTGTCTCTTGTCCCCCTGAGTTCCCACTCTCCCTCTTCTGGAGCTACATTGTGATCCGCGGGTAGGACATTTCAGTCCACTGCAATGGGTACCGAGTGATCCATTTCCCTGAGACACCCACCTGCTGGTCTTTTGGCTTCTAAAGTCAGACCTCCCTGGTTTCTCTGGAGTCCCAGCTGCTTTCACTCTGCTAGGCCTGCTCTTTCCATAGAAGTCACTCCCCTGGCGACAGGCATGTCTCTCAAGCTCCCAGCTGATATCAGGTCAGCCAACCCGGAACCAAGAGATGAACAAGATTTCAATATCTAGTATGTCAACCCAGAGATGCAACCTGTACAAAAAAATAAAGAAGGCCGGGCGCGAGTGGTGGCTCAAGCCTGTAATCCCAGCACTTTGGGAGGCCGAGACGGGCGGATCCACGAGGTCAGGAGATCGAGACCAGCCTGGCTAACACGGTGAAACCCCGTCTCTACTAACAAAAAACTAGCCGGGCGAGGTGGCGGGCGCCTGTGATCCCAGCTACTCGGGAGGCTGAGGCAGGAGGCTGGCATGAACTGAGGCAGACTTGCAGTGAGCTGAGATCATGCTATTGCACTCCAGCCTGGGCGACAGAGCCAGACTCCGTCTCAAAAAAAAATAAAATAAAATAAAAAAATAAAAAGTACAGATGCACACACCATCCTGACAACACTGTGTCCCAAAACAGCAATATATTCTGTGCACCTCATTGAGAGCTCACTGTCCTCACCACATGGTAAGTATTCCAGAATCTCTCAATTCCTCAACGGGAGGCAACACACATTTTATCATAGTACCTCAGCACAGGAAGTGGTGATAATTTACCTACTTTGATAAAGTTCCTGAAAAAACATCCTACACTGCAAAATTTCCCCTCTGAAGGAAGACAGAAAAGACTTTCCAATTTCCAAACATGGGCCTCTACTTTTCAAAAGTACCTTTCAAATAGCCAAAACAATTTTGCCAAAATAAATTGCAGAACTTGAACTTTCTTATTTGAACTCTCACAAGACATTACAACTATTAAAAACAGTGGCTGCTGTATAAGAATACAAATAGTGACCAAAGGGATAGAATCGAGGAGTCAGAAATAAACCCTCACCCTTATAGCTCATTGCTCTTGCATAAGAGGTGTCAAGATAATTAATGGAGCAACAATCATCCCTCTCAAATGGCAGTGCACCAACAACTAGATAACCACGTACCAAAACAATAAACTTAAGAACTATACTTCAACCATATCAAACAATTATCTAAAAATGGATCAGTGAGTTAATTATAAGATCTATAACCATAAAAACATCTTAGAAAAAGACATGAGGAGTAAAATTTAATGACCTCATTATGCAATGGATTCTCAGGTATGACCCAAATGCATGAGAAACAAAAAGGAAAAATAGATAAATTAGGCCTAAAGATGCAAGCCTTTTGTGCATCAAGGATATTGTAAGAAAATAAAAGACCAAACACAGAATGACACATAATAGTTTACCAAATCACATAGACAATGCTTTCATGCCCAGAATATATTAAGAGTGCTACAACTCAACAACACAAAGACAAACCACCCAATTTATATAAATGGGCAAAGGACTCAAATGGACATTTCTTCAAAGAAGATATGCAAATCATCAAGAGGGACATGAAAAGAAACTCAACATCATTAGTCATCAGGAAAATACAAGTTAAAGCCACAATGAGATCACACACTACACCCCTACAAATGTGGCTAACATTCTTTTAAAATGTTAAATAACAAGTGAAAGCCTTATGTAGAATTTGGAATCCTCATACATTGCTGGTGAGATTATAAAACTGTGTAGCCACTAGGAGAAACAGTTATGCTGTTCCTCAAGAAGCTAATCATAGAATTCTCATATGAAACAGCATCCGTTCCTAGGTATATACCCAAAGAATTGAATCCAGGGACTCAAACAGGTACTTGCATGGGAATGTTGATTGCAGCATTATTCACAAAAGATAGAATGTAAAACAATCCAAGTGTTCATCAACACATGAATAAACAAATGTGGTGACACATACAATAGAATGTTTATCTACCATAAAGAGGAATGAGGCTCTGACATCCACTGGAACATGCGTGGACTTTGGAAATATTATGCTAAGTGAAATATGTCAGAAACAAAATAAAATATATGTATAATTCCATTTATATGAAACATCAAGAATAGGCAAATTCAGAGAGACAGAGCAGAGATGATCAATGTCTAGGATGGAAAATACAGGAGTTATTATTGTTTAAAGATACAAAGTTTCATTTAAAATGATAAAATTTTCTAGGAAAAACAGTGAGTGATGGTAACTGAACATTGTGTATGTAGTTAATTCACTTGATTGCACATTTGAAAGTGGTTAAAATAGCACATTATTCACAGAACTGTGAAAAAAATTTTCTATTATTTAATTCACCCAGGCTAATGTATGTCCTGTTTGTGACTGAAGTCCATGAATACATCCACCTAGCCCAGTGTTTTCAATGAAATGTATCAGTTTTCAATCAATTAGCTGGAAGCTCCTGTCCCCAAGAGACCAGAGGTCCCAAAACAAGTCCCAGCTGGGGGTTCAACCAGCAAAAGATCCCATAGAGACAGCCTCGATGTCAGGCCCTGGATGGCATGTGAGACTATAGTTATACAACCACGGTGTGAAAGTGTAAGTGTTTTTACTACTTACAGACACTGGGGAGCACTCGGCACACAACTGGAGACCACAGATACAGAGTCAGTGAGCCCAGGCAGGGAGGAGAGAAGGGCTGGTAAGCCTGGCTTTAGTAAGTCCAGGTGTTATCTGACAGGTTTCCAGCAGGGAGCTTTAATGGATGTGTTTAAAGCAAGCAGCAAACACTGGGACAAGGAGCTCATGCTGTGACTGACATGTGGTCACTTTAAATGTGAGGGCAAATGTCAGAATTATCCATTTAAAGAAAGCAGCTGGAGAGAGGGGAGCTCAGCACACCAAGTAGGAGAGATGCCTCTAAGATTTTATCTCCTGGCCACCAACTAGAAACCCACTTGAACCAGATACAGTATTGAAAACTGCCATGGTGAGCAAGGCCTGCCTCTGATGAGGCAAATAAATTTTACAACAAAAATAAGATGCCACGGCAGCATGACACTATAAGCACTCATGACATCCAGGGACACCAGCAGGGGTGTGGTACTGTGCCCTGAGTCAAGAATCCTGGGTTGGTCCTGGGCATAAGAAAATGAAAGCGACTTGTCCCTGCTCATGGCATTGATCCTCCGCCCTGCTGCTCAAGTCTTCTGTTCCCAAGCCCATGTGCAGTACTCAGCCCCAGACATCCCACTGCCCCAGGAGTATACACAGTACCGCCTACCACACAAACACAAACTCACAGAAGGTGACAAAATCTGCGGGTCAGGACACCCGATTGTGAAAAGAGGAGAACAGTGAACATAGAGTTACAGAGACTGGGACTCATGGGGCTGGAAGGTGATGGAGCTGTAACATAACATATGTGTGACCTCGTGTGAAATGTGCAGATACTTGTGGAATAAAACACGCAGCCAGGCCTGGGACTAGGCCACCACACTTCCCTTGCTGTCCACCAGAGGGCGGCAGAGTCCCTCCAGCCTGGACCCTTCCCAGGGGATGCCGACCTCCTTCATCTGAAACTATAGCCGAGAAGGTCCACCTCACCAGGAGTCACCTCGGCACAAGTCCTCAGCACGTCCTCAGTGCCCACACGGACTCTGTCAGCTCCTCCCCGACCTGGCGGCCGCCAACCTGACACCACTCCCTCTGCAGGCAGCTCCTGCCCCACACACCCTGCTCCTTACCGCTGGGATCCAGGTAAAAGACATCTCCCAGGGCAGCGCTGGTGCATGCGGCCCATCCACATTGGCGCTTTCCGTCATGACCTCCCTCCATCCTCATCAACTAACTCTTTCATCCTGCTCCCTAAATGCCCGTCCATGCCTCCCATCTGTCCTGTTCTCTGGGCATCCCAGGCCAAACCTAGTGCTGGCACAGACCAGTGCTTGCCTGAGGGTCCCAGCCTCCCGGGAATCAGTCAGGCACCCTATGACCTGTCTGCCCTCTGCCCCGGGGGGCCAGAAGCGGCGTGGTGGTCACACACAGGCATCATGCAGGATGCCAGCCACCTATCCGCCTGGCCTTCGGAGAATAGACCTCTCAGTGTGCCTGCGGGAGAAGGAAGTGTGTACTCTTTGCTCCCAGAGGCAACTCACCCCCATGTGCCCTCTCAGGTGTGAGAGCAATCTCCTCCAGACAGGCTCTCTGGCAACTGCCTGTTCCTCCTCTACAGAGAGCAGCTTGGCCAGGTCAAAACCCTCAGGACAGACTCCTGGGTATGTTAGCACATGGAGGAGCTGAGCCCATCCACGACCAATAAGTCGGGATGAATCTCTGCAGCTCTGAACCCCTGCTCTGTCCCAGGCTCCTGTTCTGCGTCTCAACAAGCCATGCTCCACAGGGTTCCTGGGTAACTTCCAACTTCCTCCTGCACCACCATGGGGAAGGTGTAGGTATCCACAAGGACAATCAGATGGGCAGAAGAGAGGACACCAAAGATGGTCAGGAAAATGAAAACCTAGAGCCCAGCTCAGCCACCAGACCCCAGGAGCAATAAAGTGACTGACGATCCTTTGACCCATGGGACTCACCCAGCCCCCACTGAGCAACCAGCACAGGCTCTCCTCCCAAGAGGCTTGAGAGATTCACCCTGCACACCTCCAGGAAGGACACTTTCCTCTGGGAAACCCAGGTCCTGAATATCCATCCTTGGAAGCTGCAGTCAAGCTAGACACAATTAAATGAAGGGTTCCTGTCACCAGGTGACTGGCTCACCCACAGCACAATGGGGTGTCCCTGTGACAGGGACCTGGTGCAGCTCCAACCTCCTGCACTGAAGGGGAGAGGCAGAAGGGGAGGAAAGAGGGCAAAGGGTATGAATGTGCACCCCAAACCAGAGCCATTGGGACAGCAGAGGCTGAGGCCAAGGACTGTGCTTGCCCAACCTACAGAACATGTGTGTGTCTGTGTGTGTGTCTCTTGTGTGTGTGTGTTTGTGTTTCTGCATAGTGTGTGTTGAGGTTTAGTAACAGAATCACTGTTGAAAAAGGCAGAAATCCCACAATTCCCAGGACCTGACACACAGACAAAGGGGAAGTGGGGGAGGGACAAGGAGGCTGGACAGAGAGGGGAGGGGACAGAGAGGTGTCCTGGGCACAGACCCCACCCATGAGCCTGAAGTGCTCCTGCCCGGGAAGAGCTCCAGCACAGGAGGAGAGGACAGCACGGCTGACAGCCGTGCTCACAAAGTTCTGGATCCCAGGCTCATCTCACAGAGGAGAACATGCAGGCAGCACAGACCATGGGGCCCCTCTCAGCCCCCTCCCTACACACTGCATCACCTGGAAGAGGGCTCCTGCTCACAGGTGAGAGGCCTCCTGGGGAGGAGGACAAGAGGAGGGAAGCAGAATGATTGGGATGGGGTTCCTGGGGAGGATGCGGTTCTAAAAAATAAAAGAAGTCAGCACTTTGGGAGGCTGAAGTGGGTGGATCATGAGGTCAGGAGATCAGAATCAGTCTGGTCAACATGGTAAGTCCTCTCTACTAAAAATACACAAATTAACCAGGTGTGGTGGTGTGCTCCTTTAATTCCTGCTTCCTACTCAGGAGGCTGAGGCAGGAGAATTGCATGAACCTGGGAGGCAGAAGAGATTACAGTGAGCCGAAATGGCGCCATTTGCATGCCAGCCACCAGGCGACAGTACGAGACTCTGTCTCAAAAAGAAAAAAAAAAAAGCCCACAGGAAAGAAGGCTCTGTTGGGTGACCTGGATAGAGAAAACATACCAGAGAGGAACAGGGGTCAAAGCGGAAAATTACATTGCAATTGGTAGAGGAGTAGGAAAATCTCAAGTGTTCTTTTTTGCTGGTTAATCATCACTGGACACCACATTTTGAAAAATGATAATAATAACTACTATCAGATGACATTTCAAATGAAAATATAAGCAGGGCATGAAACACTGTCCTCAGCAAAAAACCTCAACAATTGGGGAAAGCCAAAAAAAAAAAATACTCATGGGCAGGAGGACCCTGGGAAAGGAATCACAGTACAGGAATTTACAATACCTCTCAAAGGCACTGATGTGCAACCAACATCAAAAGTCCCTGTCCTTATGGAACTCATGCTGTCATGGGGAGGAAGACAGACATGCAAAGAGATCTAGAATGTGAGGTCAGGTGTTGACAAGAGCTCCGGAGGAGGCAGAGCAGAAGAACCAGAAAGGGAAGACCCAGGGTCTCAAGGAAGTGTCAGAAGTCTAGGGGCGCTCAGTGCGAGCAGGACCTGAAGGCAGTGTGGAGAGAGCTGTGCAGACCCCTGGGGAAGAGGATTAGAAAAGAAAAATGCCAAGTTGAGTATTGGAAGGAATGGGGAGTCGTGCTGCTGACCTTGACCCGGTAGGACAGTAGGACACACACACACTCACAAACACACACACAAAAGATGTATGTGTGTGTTTGTGAGTGTGTGTGTGTGTGTGTGTGTTTTTTCAAGGCTGATGACTGAAGAGATCCTCTCAGGACCCAGGGGCCCCATCTTTCACCCCAATACATAGGTCTCAATATTGACTGATGCTCTCTCCACCTCCTAGCATCACTTTTTAATCTTCTGGAACCTGCCACACTGCCCAGTAGTGATTGAAGCCCAGCCAGCCAAAGTTTCCGAGGGGAAAGGATGTTCTTCTACTTGTCCACAATTTGCCCAGAATCTAGCTGCCTGCATCTGGTACAAAGGGCAAATAATGGACCTCCAACATTACATTACAGCATATATAAAGATGCAAACAATTATATTTGGGCCTGCATACAGTGGACGAGAAACAGTATATTCCAATGCATCCCTGCTGATCCAGAATGTCACCCAGAAGGACACAGGATCCTACACCATACAAATCATAAAGCGAGGTGATAAGACTAAAGGAGTAACTGGACATTTCACCTTATACGGTGAGTGATTCACATGATCCTGGGTGTTGGGGGTGGGGTCACTTTACTTTGTACACACAGGATGGTCAGGCCTGGACTGTGCCTGTGTCCCTCTCTGCATTATGTCCCATGTTGGGGTTTTGGCATTTAGTGCAGGACACACACAGAGGAGACAAACTTCCAGCAGATCAGAATTCCTTTCCTGCCTCCAGACCCTGCAGATACTTGCTGCACAGGAAGGACAGTCTGATGGGGTGGGGGGTGCTCAGCAGGAGGAGATCAACCTCAGCCAAGCACCTCATGCCCTCTTCATAAATTTGACCCTCAGAAACACCCTGGAGAAGTGAGTAGGGCTTTGCCAAAGGGACCCTGAGATACTCTCAGAGAAGCTCAGCCCAAGAAGCCTCAACCTCAGACCCCTGTCCCTACATCCTTACTCCAGATAAAGCCCCCAAGAGGCCTACACCCACGCTCAGTTGTGGCCAGGGCTTACTGGGACCAAGGATTTACCAGCTGTCTGAGGACTGTGTCTCCTGGAGCTGCTCACTGCCAGGGCTCAGCCCTCAGAGCCTCATCTGGGCAAGGACAGAGCTCTTTCTTCCACCTGAGACTCCAGAGTGGAGAGGACAGAAGAACAAGCTTTGTAGGCCATCAGTCGCTGCCTTGTGAGGCTTAGGACACTCCATAGAAAGTCTAATGTCCCCAGAAGCAGAAGCAGAAGAGAGAAAATGTACCTGGCAGCAGCTTGTCCACAGGGATCTGACCTAAAGGTGCTCTCTCATGAGACTGAATAATAATAAATGCTGTTTGTGTGAACACCTCCATGTGCTAAGCATTAGGTCAGGTGACACCTTGAAGAATTTACAATTTATTCACAGATAGCATGAAAAACCATAGTCCATTTGCCCATTTAGCTTATTTGACTACTTGAGAAAAAAACTGAGCACAGGAAGGCACAGCCACTGAACCAGAGTCACACAAACACAAAGGCAGATCAGGGTCATGAGGTCTGTCTGCAGCCACAAACCCATCCTCTCCTCCACAGAAGTGAGGGCTTATTGGGTTCAAGGACCCATAGTCATTCTATTGGCTCAAATCACTCTCTTCTTAGGCATCAAACCTCAGAGGAGTGAGCAAATGCTCCAGCTGATTAGTCTGCACTCCCAGAACTAAATTACCTGCCTCAGCATCAAGTCAGTGCAAAAAAATGTCCAGGCCTCCACCTCAGATCTTAACTCCTATCACTGAACCTGAAATCCTATGTTTCCCAAAGTGTCCATGTCACTGGCATGACAGGATAAAGGACAGGACCTTGTTTTCTTTCACCACACACACCCGCACCAGCACAGGCCCAGTGAAGACACACACTCCAGGAGCTCTCATAACAAATGAAGGAATTGAATGAAGAAACAAATGATTCATAACCTCTTTAGAGGCTGAATCTTGGATGCAGAATCTAGGAGTTCTAGCCACACCTGCTGTCCCTTTTCCTTCAGGGGCTGACACCATGTTTCATCCCCCACTACCTCTTGCCCTAAGCCACCCCACTTCATGTATAACTCTGAAGCTCTTTGGCCACTGGAGGGTTTCAGGCTCCTGGTCCTGGACTGTGGAACTGGGGGTACCTGGTCCTTGGGGTCTCTGAAGTCACTGTAGTCCCCGCGGTTCACTGCCATGCTGTCTCTGCCTCTCTCTGCTTCTCTGTGTCCCTCACCTTCCTCCCACTTCATTCTAACTGGCAAACCCTGTTCTGCACACCTTCTTCCTCCACCCCAGCCCTTCCCCAGACAATCCCTCTAAATAGGCTGACTGTTCTGTTCCCTTGCTAACACCTTAGTCTGGCCCACCTCCCAGGAAATGGGAAAGGTACAGAAATCACCTGGAACTGCCACTCCTGCCAGGCTTCATCTCCAGCCAATGTCCCCAGGTCACTAAGCAAATGAGCTTCCACTGTATCCCATCAGGGCTCATGTCCTTTGTGGAAATATGTCTGTGAACAAGACTGTGGGACGAGGGAAGGCATAAGCTCCTCCATCCACTCTTATAATTCCCAGACAAGTTCTTCTGGCCTCCTGCACAATAAACCAATTTATCCCGATGGTGAGTTGCAGTAAAGAAAGATTTTAATGACTCCAAGTCTGCCAAACAGGAGGACAGAGGTTTATCATTACTCAAATCAGCCTCCCTAGTGGAAAAAGGGTTAGAGATTTTCAAGGATAGTTTCAGGGCACAAGAACTAAAAAATGGGTACTGCTGATTGTTTGAGGATGGAATGTGGGGAGCGGAGAAATGATCTGTTTGTCTTGAATCTGACTCTAGGTGGGGACCACGTGTGCTATCATAGGCCTCGTTATCAAAAGTCGCCAATTACAAATCTAAAGGCTCACTTCTCCTCTCAAGGCAATCTCCGTTCTAATAGTGATATTATCTATAGAGACGGTGGTTGCAGATTTTTGTAAACTCTGGCCAAATGACATTTGAGGAGTAAGGGATTATAGAAACGGTGCCTCCATTTTGTGGGAATTCAGTTCCCTCCTATAATCTTAGTCTCCATGGTCTTTCACCAGTTTACAAAGGCAATCCTGGGCAAAGAAAATTATTAGTGTTATGGAGGAACTATTATCATTCTTGCTTCAAAGTTAAACCATAAACTAAATTCCTCCCATGGTTAGCCTGGCCTATGGCCGAATGAGAGGACAGCCAGCCTGAGACTAGATGCCAGATGGAGTCAGCCATGCTAGTTTGCTGTCACTGTTGTAAACTTTGCACTGACTCACCAGGGTGTCAGAGGCTGGACAGGTCTGCAGTCTCCAAAGCCCAGCAGGCTGATTTCACCCATTTCACTCGTGACTCCATCCTCAACCTACCATGGAGCTCACATTCTCCAGTCACTTCTAGAGACTTCTGGTTTCCTGTCAGCAGGCATATAACGAGCTTGAAATTTGTCATGGTTCTAACAGTAAGTAAAAAGCTGAAAAACCTCAAGTCAGCAACTCATTAAAATCCCTCCCAGAGATGGCCAGGCGCACAGTGACTCACGCCTGTAATCCCAGCACTTTGGGAGGCTGAGGCGGGCAGATCACAAGGTCAGGAGATCGAGACCATCCTGGGTAACACGGTGAAACCCTGTCTCTACTAAAAATACAAACAAATTAGCTGGGCATGGTGGCAGGCACCTGTAGTCCCAGCTACTCAGGAGACTGAGGAAGGAGAATGGTGTGAACCTGGGAGGCAGAGCTTGCTTGAGCCACGATCGTGCCACTGCACTCCAGTCTGGACAACAGAGCGAGACTCCCTCTCAGAAAAAGAAAAAAAAAGGGCTGTTAGAGAAATGAGGAATGCTTTTGATGCTTACTGGTAGACTGTACACAGCTGAGGAAAGAATCCCTGGCAGGGATGTGTGAATAAAAACTTCCCAAACTGAAACAGGAAAGTTCAAAAAGTGGGAAAGAAAGTGGAACAACATGGAACCATATTTAATACTTTGTATTGACAATAGCAATTTTAATGTTGTAGTTGTGGGACAACTACCAGGGGCTGTAACATACACGTGAGTAGAATACTGAGTGGTTTTGAGGACCTGTTGCAAGTGGCCAGGTGGGTACTACCTGATGGTTTTACTGCCTGTGCCACATATGATTGTTTCCCTCCCCTGATGGTGCCATTTTCATAAGTTGGGAGTTCTTCGTGTAGAGACATGAGCCATTGACGTCTCACTTAGACTCTTCTAATTCACACAAACTTAACCTCAGTTATATTTCCTGAGGTTAAGAAAATGAGAAAAGCATTTCACATACCTGTTTTGAGCTCCTCCCCATTTTCCTATCTGCACAGAAATTAGAAACAGGGAGTTCTTTCTATATTTACTAACAACACATATCCTTCTTTTAATTAGGCATCATTCCTCCCTTTATGTAATTGACACTGGCCAGTTCTGTCCTTTTAATGGGACTCTCTACTTAAGAAAAGGAGTTGCTAATTTCAAATCACCTTTGGCATCTTTCTTTGAGCATAATGTGATCCTGCTGGAATTCACCCCTAAACCTTAATTGGGCATCAAGAGAAATACTACTACCAGCAATTGATCTTAGATGTTTGGACCATCAGTAAAAATTTCCTTTACAACAACATTTTAATGTTTCCTCCAAATTTGTTTGTTTTGTTACTAGAGTCAGGAACATAACATGAGGTCTAAACTCTGACAACTTTTGTGGGAAAATTACAGTATTACAAATTGAGCATCCCAAATCCAAGTAAAATCTGAAATGCTCCAAAATCCAACACTTCTGACCATTGATGTAAATACTAAAAATCTCGGCTATTAAGTCAAATTTTCATATGTGGGATGCTAGCAGTACATCTACTGCATTTATTCCAAAATAAAAAGTTAGAACTCAAAACACTTGGTTTTAAGCTTTTTGAGACAAAGAACCTTACTTATCTGTATGAACTGCAGGTATGAAGCTGTACAGGAGATCTCTACAACCTCTTCATCCTTCATAACTAAAACCACACACCTAGGGAACAATGCTCTATTCCCCCGACCCCAGCTCCTGGAAACTACTATTCTACTCTCTGATTCACTCTGGAATCCACTAAGATGAGGTACACCAAATAGTCAAACTCATAGAATCAGAGAGTAGAATGTCCTAATGAAGAAAGTATCTGCAAGATTTCTTCAAATATTGGTCTAGTAGCCACAAACATATATGGTGCATGAGGGCCAGACTTTATCCTCAGTTCATGTTCGCCCTTTCCACCCAGTCAGTTCTGCATTTGCAAACATCCCATGTATTTCTAGAAAGATCCATGGTCCTCACCTGCCTCACAGGGGAAGGGGAACATCATGGACAGAACAGGGAACATGGTCTTGATCAAAGTTATCAGCTCTTGCCTGTCCCCTTCACTCTTTAGCAAGTCATTCATGGACTCTGCTCTATCTTTAAAGGCCACTGGTTAAAGTCAATGCTGAGACAGCTGGGAAAACTGCCCCACCTTGTGGTTCCACTGCCTGATGACTGAACTGACCTCAAGCAAATCTAAGTCTCCCAATGTGCTTCTACTACATCTGGTTGGATAGGATTTTAGGGTGTGGGGTTTAAGGGACATTGGGGTTCCATCAAGTAAATGCAGGATTGTCGCGGAAGGAAGCTGCAGAGAAAACATACCTTGAGGCGAGTAGGGCTGAGCTAAGAAGATTCCAGCACTGCATGCTCAGGTGAGGACCACAGGGTGGGCCAGGCAGGCCCAGTTGGAGAGGAGAGGGACTCAGAGAGGCAACAGGGTCTGTGACTACTGGTCCCATGTCTTTCCATGACCTAATACTGCTACTCATTTACACTTGAAAGTCTGTGCTTCTCCCACATAAAGCAGACAGCCTCACAATCTCTGAGCCCTCAGATTCATGCATCACTCTTGTAGCAACACACTCCTGCGATGGGCTTTTAAGGACTTGGGTGGGCTGAGAGGTGGGAAATGCCAACTCTGATTTAAAAATGTCTTTGGAGGAATCAAAGGTGCCACACAGGGCAATCTTCTCTCTGTCATCTGCACAGTGGAGACTCCCAAGCCCTCCATTTCCAGCAGCAACTTAAACCCCAGGGAGGCCGTGGAGACTGTCATCTTATCCTGTGATCCTGACACTCAGGACGTAAGCTACCTGTGGTGGATAAACAGTCAGAGCCTCCCTATCAGTCTAGGGTGCAGCTGTCCAACCAACAGGACCCTCATTATGTTACAGATGTCTAAGCGATACAGAACCCTCTGAATGTGAAATAGAACCCAGTGAGTTCCATGCAGTGACCCAGTCACCCTGAATCTCCTCCGCGAGGTATTTTCTGTTTCTCTGTAAGCCAGGCGGCCATCCCAAATACACATGGCCAGAGGCCAGGCCTCTCACTCCCTCTCAGGTCCAAGTACAGAGGCGTTTTACCCCTGGACATCAAAGCTGGCCATGACTACTAGAGTAGGCTTAGGCCCGATCAACAATGGGAGAAGAGTTGCCCCTGTCTGCTGGGAGACTCAGGGTCAGCAGACGCATGATGGGAGAAAAAGGTGAATGTCTCAGGCTCCAGATCAGTGAACACAGCAGGGATTTGACTGGGACTTCAGTGTTGTAAACTTAGCTCACAGGGTCACTGTGGCCCTTCCACAGACAGGATTTTCCCCTTCCCTCTGACAATATCACCTGTGACTTTATTCTCTTTGCTCCAGATGGCCTGGATGCCCCCACCATTTCTTCTGCATACACCTATTACCATACAGGGGAACTCCCCAAGCTCTCCTGCCTCACAGACTCTCACCCACTGGCACAGCATTCTTGGCTGATTGATGGGAAGTTCCAGCAATCAGCACAAGTGTTCTTTATCTCCCAAATCACTAAAACATATACAGGGGTCTATGTCTTTTTCATCCATTAACTCAGCCACTGGTGGAGACAAATCTCATAATCAAGAGGATCATAATCATGGTAGTGGATCCCTGGAGCATTGGCAATATGTTTTCAGTGAAGCCCTATCTGGCTATCAGGGAAGAGTCACCTGCCCTCTGCAAAGGAAGGAAAATCAAAAACCCAGGACAGGGAACATATTTCTGCTCCAAAACCACCAGCTTTTGCCTGTCCCCTTCACTCTTTCTAGATCATTCTTTAGACTACACACCAACAATGAACAATCTGAAAGAAATTAAAGAAAACAATTTCAATTAACATTAACATCAAAGGAATAAAATATTTTGATAAAGTTAAACCCAAAGGTCAAAGGGTTATACCTGAAAACTCCAAACATTACTGAAAGAAACTAAAGCGACATCAATATATGGAAGACGATTTCATTCTCACGGATTGGAAGAATCCAATATTGTTAGAAATAATATTACCCAAAGTGAGTTCCAGATTCAAAGCAACCCCTACCAGAATTCCAGTAACATTTTTGCAGATTACAAAATCTGTCCTAAACCTGACCTGTGACTTCTTGGCTAATGACTGCCACAACAGAGACACTGAGAAAAATATGCAACCATGAAAAGGTGGAAAGTTTTGATGATATAGAAAATAGCAAACAGCCTTTCTCATATCCCAAAGGCTTCAAAAATATACAAAGCGCAGCATGGCAGTATGGAATTGATCAAAAACTAATCACCAAGCTAAGAAATGTGAGTGTGAGGAAAAAAAAATCAAAATCTATGTTTGGCCTATCACTATCACTTTTATACTAGTCTGATGCTGAAAAGAAATGCTCACTGGAACATTTTAGATTTTGAATCTTTCAGATTTGGGATGCTAAACCAGTAAGCCTGTGACAAATATTTCAGAATCAAAAAATGTCAGAAATCCAAAACACTTTTTGTCCTAAGTCTTATGCATAGAAATACTCAATCTGTGTAGACATGAGCATCAAACTGTCGGCAGATCTCTAGAATCTCCACATCTGGCATAACAGAAACTGCACACCCATGAACAACTTCTGATCCTCCCCAATCCCAGCTCCTGGAAACCCTTGATCACTTCTCAGATTCACTCTGGAGACCCACTTCCATGAGGTCCCTAGAGTGATCAAACAAATGGAATCGGAGAGTAGAGTGTCCTATGAAAGAAAATGTTTGCAAAAGTTCTCCCTAAGTTTGTCTCATATCCATCAAACACACATGGTCCATGAGGACCAGATTTCCAGCAGTTCATTCCCACCCTTTCCACCAGTCAGTTCTGCATTTGCAAATCTCCACATATATTTCTGGACAGGTCCACATAGACCTCACCTGCCCTCTGCAGAAGGAGAGGAAACTTACAGAACCCAGAACAGGGAACATGGTTCTACTCCAAAGCCACCAGCTCTTGCCTGTCCCCTTCACTCTTTCTAGATCATTTCTTGCACTCTGCTCTATCTTTGGAGGTCACTGGCTCAAGTAAGTCATCATGGAAACACCTCAAAAACACTGCCCCACCTTGTGCCTCCACTGCCTGATGACTAGACTGACCTCAGGCTTGACTCTGGTCTCCCCTGTCTTATTTCTGCTGAAACATCCAGTCCCAGGCCAGGCTGCTCAGTATCTTCAGGGTTTTAGGACAAGCTAGGAAGTCCCATTATTGCTTATCTCTAGAATGTCCTTGGAAATGGGCTGCAGAAATCACATCTAAGAGGGCAAAGTAGGATAAATTTGGAAGGGGCATAGGAGTTGCACATTTCCAGGTAAAGGGCAGGTGAACCAGTCAATCAGCTGATTAAGAGAGGGACTGGGAGGAGTCGAGGGACTGTGACTCCCACTGATGTGTCTGTCCATGACCCAACACTGTTGCTCAATTCACACTTGAAAGTCTGTGCTTCCCTAAGACAGAGCACGCCAGCCTCCGTCTTTGAGCACTGAGATCATCATGCATGTCTTGTAACACACGCACCAGCTATTGACTTTCAAGGACTTGGGTGGGCTGAGAGGTGGGGAGATACCAACTCTGATTGAGATGTCTGTAGAGAGTCAAAGGTGCCACACGAGACAATCTTCTCTCTGTTACCCACACAGTGGAGCTGCCCAAGCCTACATCACCATAACAACTTCAACCCCATGGAGAATAAGAATGCTGTAGCCTTAACATGTGAACCTAAGACTCAAAACTACACCTACGTTTGGTGGGTAAATGGTCAGAGCGTCAGTCACTCCCAGGCTAAAGCAACCCGGTGAAAACAGGATCCTCATTCTCGCCAATGTCTCTGAAATGACACAGGATCCTACGAATGTGAAATACAGGATCGAGTTGGTAGCATTCGCAGTGACCCAGTCACCCTGGATGTCCTCTGTGAGTATATTTGGGTCATCTGGCAGGCCCGGGCCACCAGTTTAAATCCAAATGACCAGAAGCCAGGCATCTCCCAGTCTCTCTCAGGTCAAGTACAGACACTGTTATTTCTGGACACCCAAGCAGACCATGACTCCCTGCCCTGGAGAAACCTGGGTAGAGCTGTATAACTCAAGAATATGAGGGAGGATGCTCTTGTCATGGGAGACTTGGTCTGGCATGATGGGAGAAACAGGTGAATGCCTCAGGCCTTGGCTCAGTGAACACAGAAGGGGTTTGGCTCGGCCTTGAGGGTGTGTCTTGGCTCAGAGGGACACTCTGTCCCTTTAAGAGACCAGGAGCATCCCCTTCCCTTGTGCTACATCACCGATGTCTTTATTATCTTTACTCCAGATGGTCCAGGCGTCCCCAGGATTATCCCTCATTCACCTATTACCATTCAGGAAAACCTCTCGCCTTGTCATAGCCCATGGACTCTAACCCACCGGCAGAGTATGCTTGGACGATTAATAGGAAGTTTCTTCAATTAGGACAAAGCTCTATATCCCCCATATTACTACAAAGCATAGCGGGCTCTATAGTTGCTCTGCTCATAACTCCAGCCACTGGCAGGAAATTTCCACATTCAAGAAAATCAAAGTCTCTAAGTAAGTGGATCCCACATCATGGGCAATAGGGTTTTAGGTGGAGTCTATCTGGCTTTCAGAGAAGAGTCAGGAAAACATTTTAATTCAGCCTGTGTCCATGGGCAGAGAAGCAAATCCTAAATTCTCCTCCTGAACCCTCCCAATTTGTCTCTACAGACCCTCTTCTCTTTCTTTTTCTGTTTTCTCATGGCTGACCTTGTGTCCAGCCTGAGAAAAATAGGAAAGCTTTGAGCCCTATGTGGTGGAAGAGGCTTCTACAGAGGTGGAAGAGAGGGAAGCTTCACAGAGGGACAAGAAGGAGAGTCTTCAAGATCAAATTGCTTTTCGCTGTCACCAACACATCCGTTTTCTGCCACATCTTCAGTTTCTTTTACCTCTCCATCAGCTAAAAGGAACATCTGAGGCTTTGAAACATGCTCACATTATTCCCCCCAGAGTAAGGAGAGGCCTTGGGCAGAGAGAGGAGCAGCTTGGAGCTGCTGCCTGCTCTGCTCTGGGCTTCTCCGGTGACTGGCCCTGCCTGACTCCACCTGGGGTGGGACAAGCATGTGTGGAGAAAGAGCCCTGGTGGCCTGTCCTGAATTCAGCTAAATCGAGCTGCCAGTTGAAGTGAAGCCTAGTCTGCAGAAATAAGAACAGAGGAGCCTTGGGCAGACTCTTGAACTGTCCTGGCTCCTGGAAGTCACCCGACTGTATGAGGCTGTAGACAGCACATGGGACACAGCACAGAGGACAGTGAGTGATGCACACTTGGAGAAATAGTGAGATTCACCTCTGAGGCTCTGCACTTGGCAGGAAGGAGACAATGCCAAAAGTGTGTATTTATAGAGTATAAGACTACCAGGACACTTTATATATATATATCTAATATAAGACTTATCATTAACTAAGTGTGCAATTTAGTGTTGTGTAACCATCACATATCCATTTCCAGAACTTTTCCTTTACCATATTAAAGCTCTGGATCAAAAACATTAACTCTCACTCACTCCCCTAACCCTTAGCACCACCATTCTACTTTCTGTCTCTATGTAACTAGCCTATTCTATCTTTTTATAAATGGAATTATATAATAATTGTCCTTTTGTGTCTGGCTTATTTCAGTGGGCATAATGTCTTCCAAGTTTCATCCTTTTCACGATGTATTGGAATTTTATTCCTTTTAAGGTTGAATAGCATTTCGATTTATTTAGATACACTTCATTTGCCTACCCACTTATCTTTCAAAGGACAATGGACTTTTCAACTGCTTCCATTTTTGGCTATTGTGAGTAATGCTTCTCTGAACATCAATGTGCAAATACTTGTTCAAATTTCCTTCCACTCTATAGGCAGTATATCCAGAAGTGGAATTGCTGGATCGAATGGTAATTTATTGTTTAATTTTTTGAGAAAGAGCCACACCACTTTTTACAGTGGCTATAACATTTCCATTCCCATCAGCAATGCACTAGAGCTCAATTTTCCATCTGTTTGAAAACACTTGTTATGTGTTGCTGTCGTTGTGTTTATCAAAGCCATCCTAAAGTGTGTGAGGTTGTGTCACATTGTGGATTTGATTTGTATATCTCTAAGTATTAATGACATGAGGAACTCTGCATAGGCTTATTGGATATTTGTATATCTTCCTTGAAAACTCTATTTTAATCCTTTGTTCATTTTTAATTGGAGTTTTGGATGTTTGCTGTTGTTAGGCTTGTAGTTTTTCATGTATTCTGAAGTGTTTCTTATCACACTTATAATTTGCAAATATTTTTCTCATTTCATAGGTTGCCTTTTACTTTCTTAGTAATGTTCTTTGATATATAAAAAGTTTGTGATTTTTATGAAATCCAATTTATCCATTTTTATTTATTGCCTATGCTTTTGCTATTTACAACCAAGAAATCATTATGAAATCCAATATCAAGCTTTTTCTCCTATGTTTTCTTCTAAGAGTTGTATAGCTTTTACTTTTAAATTAGATCTTTGATCTATTGTGCGTTAATTTTTGTATATAGTGTTAGGTAGAGTTCCACTCATTCTTGCCCTTGGATATCCAGCTTGCCCAATATCATTTCGTCAGAACACTGTCCTTTCAACATTGAGCGATCTTGGCATGCTTTCATTAGAAAATCATTTTGCACCATATATGCAGGTATTTCTTTCTCAGGTTCTTTGTTCTATTTCACTAATTTCTATATTTCCTCCTTTATTCCAATACCACACTGTATTGGTTACTTGACTTTGCAGTAAATGCTGAAATCAGGAAGTGTGAGTCCTCCAGCCTCATTCTTCCTCTTCAAAGTTTTCTGTCTATTGATCGCAAAATTCAACATGATTTTAGGACAGATTTTTCCTTTTCTGCAATAATGTCACTGAGATTCACAAGTAGAATTGTATTGAATCTGCAACTCACTTTTTGGTAGCATTGTCTTCCTAACAATATTTAGTCTTCTAATTCATGAAAACAAAATGTTTTCAATTTATTACTGTCATCATTAAGCAATATTTTGTGGATTTCAGGTATAATCATTTCACCTCTTTGGTTAAACTTATTCCTAAATATTTTATCTTTTTGATATTAATACAAATTAAATTTTTTTTCTTAATTTCCCTTCAGATTGTTCATGGTTAGTGTATTGAAATGTGACTGATGTTTGAATGTTGATTTTGTATTGTGCAACATTACTGAATTCATTTATTAATTCTAATAGGTTTGTGCATCTTTAGGATTTTCTACATATCAGTTCAAGTTATCTGTGAACAGAAATAATTTTACTCCTTTCTTCCAGTTTGAATGTCTTTTTTTAAATTCTTGCCTAATTTTTCTGACTAGACTTTTCAATACTACATTGAATAGGCGTGTCAGCAGCATCCTTGTCTTGTTCCTGCTCATACGAGGAAAGCTCAGTCTTTCTCCGTTCTGTATGATGTTAGCATTGGGTTTTTCACATATTGTCTTTATGTTGAGGTGGTTTCCTTCCATTCTTAGTTGGAATGTTTTATTATGAAAAAAATATTGAATTTCATCAAATACTTTTATTGATTCAATCTTACTACTGATTATAGCTCTGGGCCAGCCCAGGCTGAAATACAGTGGTGTGATTATGGTTCACTGCAGCCTCAACCTCCTGGGCTCAAGCAATCCTCCTTCTTCAGTCTCCCAAGATACGAGGACTACAGATGCATGCCAATATGACCAGCTAATTGGTTTTAAATTTTTTTTTGTAGAGAGAGTCTCCCAGTTACCTATGTGGTCAAACCACCTGGCCTCAATAAATCCTCCCACTGTGACCTCCCAAAGTGCTAGAAGTTAAAATATGACCCACCATGCTCAGACTCCATTTTCATTTCTGATTTTAGTAATTTTAATCTTCTCTCTCTTTTTCTTAGTCAGTCTAGTTAATGGTCATCAATTTTGTTGATTTTATTTCGAAGAATCAACTTTTGGTTTCAATAATTTCCTCTATTTTTCCATTCTCCATTTTATTTTTATCCCTCTAATCCTTGTTCCTTCATTCACTGTGCTTGGGTTTACTTTGTTCTTCTTTCATATCCTGAAGTATGAGACAGCTTGCTTCACACCATTCTTTTAAAGGTTTAATGCTGTAGTGTGGAAACAAGATGCCACACGCAGAGGAACCAATGTCACCTGCTATATTACTACCATCATCATTAGCCTTCAAGTCAAATAGTCCCAGAATCAAATCTCAGATCCACCTATTACTAGCCCATATGACACCAGGAAAGATTTTCTCTAAGCTTGTGTCTTTTCATAAGCTAGACGGAAATAATGTCTACCTGACAGGGTTATTGTGTGAATTAAATGACGTACAGGTATTGCACCCAGGCCTGGTACACGGGAGAATGCGCCTCAACAGTATCTAACTATTTCCATATATATATAGAAAAGAGGTACCACATAAAACACTAGGACATAGTTACTGACTACTTGTGGGAGAGAAAGGGGAAAAAGCTAAGTGCAAAGAATCAACCTGGTGGTAGTTTTACTAACTGAGATGCATCAGGATGGGATTAGACATATAAGATAATTATCCGGGAAGACACGCGTGAGGAATGTGGGGCAGGCATGAAGGTAGTGTAGGAGAACCCACAGACCCCTATGTAAAGCTGACTTCTGTGAAAAAGAAAGAGAAAAGCTTTAGGTATCAATGCAGTTCTAAGAGAGTTTTGCAAGGATGATCAGAATCCTCAGCCAGATGCACCCACTAGGTTAAAGAGAGCCTCAGAGAACTAGGCTTGCTTTGCGCCCCTTGCTGGGAACCTGTGAGAAGGAAGCTTTCTGTGCAAAGGAGGTGGTGAATTTGAAATGCACTGACCTGACCTTCTGTCAATCAGGTCCTGCCAGAGACCTGTGGGTCTCATTCATGGCTGCCACAACAGGGCACTGAAAGATGCAACCATGAAAAGGTGGAAAGGTGGAAAGTTCTAATGACATAGAAAATAGCAATCAGCCTTTCTCACATCTACAAAACTTTCCTGAAATATCTGAGTGCAGTAGAGAATTGACAGAGGACTGATCACCAACCTAGAAACATGGTGAGAAGGGAAAAAAACTAACAGAATATGTCATCTCCCATCAAATTTCAACAGAAATAATGCATTCCTTGAAACAATTATAGACTACCTCTCGTACATGCTTGTTCTAGAGGCTCCCCCTGTAAAATAACATCGCCTCTATTCCTTTTCTTTTCTTTTCTTTCCCACTGACAGCTCCTTCAGTAACAGCGTGTTTCACACCTTAATCGATATAGCAGTCGTGATGTCATTTCTGTATTTCAGGAAGACTGGCAGGTATGATGGCCTTTTCTCTTGTCCTGTTTCCTGCAAGATTGACTGCCATGCTTGCAGGAGAGGAAAAGACTTATTTGCCTATATCTGGGACTGGATCTCCTCCTTCTTCCACTAAACTCCTGCTTTTCAGCACTAATTCCTGCAGTTCCCTTTCTCCTGGCCTTTATACTCCCTGTACCCCACTGTCCTTAAGACATAATTATCTCCAGCCTCTGCTCATTTGTTTCTCAGATTCAAATGAAACACAATTCACATT